TTGGTATCCTTGTGAAATATTTCCGACAAAGCAGTTCCAGTACCTCAAAAATAGAAGTTGCATTCTTCCTCCGTCATCCCAAAGAAAAAAAAAATCCTCAAGGAATTCTTGACTGGATCCAGCACAGGCTCTACCTCAGCACTCTTACACATCAGGATAGCAAGAGGCTGAAACTGCAAGTTGTGACAAATCAACTCAAGCTAATGCATCCTACATTCAATATTAGCACACAAAGCTTTAAAAAAGCACCTTCTAGATCCAAGACATCATCCGTAACTGCTGAGGTCTTTGGTTATGAATGTCACATGCTTTTGTCTCTAAAACACAGCAACTGAGTTTGAAACCTGGATCTAGACATTTAGAAGCAAACATTTCCTTCACATAGTTAGAAGTCCCTTTCTCAAAACCCAAATTTCTTTTGTGTGGGGAATCAGAAGATGAAGAACCTTTTAGCTTAGTCAAAGGTGGCGATAAGATTTTAAAGGAGAGGGAGCACACTGGGATGTAGGATACCCATTGAAATGCTACTGACACAGGGACAGCACACCACGTGGAAAGAGAATTCAAGTTTCTCATATACAAAGGTTAAAGGAAAAACTCTGCAGACCACTCTTTGAAAACAGTTTTCATCTACTATAAGAAACTGAAAAGATGCATAAAGTCAGGCTTACTTGGCAAGCCACATTACAAACGTACTGGTTTTCATCATGATGGTTTCTTAGGCAGATACTCAAATGGCACAGGCAATTCTTTCTGAAACATACAGAGGCAAAAGAATGGCAGAAATACACTGCATGATTTCAAAGCACTATCAAAGGCTTTTACAGACAACTTCAGAAGTTATAATTTTAGAGTTATAGTTTTATAAACAACTCAAGAAGTTACGAAGGCTGAAGTCTGCATTAGCATCTGTCTTCCAACTACAAAGTCAGAAATGACATATTACACAATGACAAATGGTGTCTGTTGTCTGTATTAAGGATGGTTGCTCTAGCAGATGTTTTCTAATTATCCCAAGCTTGTCCCAAGCTAGAGAAAGGCAAAAGAACTGGAAATATGCACAGACAGATCTGATGCACCAATAGCCTAGAGAAATCATTTTAAAAAGTTGTTTGGTATCCTTTCAAAGGGCCTTAGCTACATAAAGAAAGGAATGGGGAAACAGCAAATATGTTTGTGACATTCCTCAGTGAAAGCTCTAGCTATTTGACCAAGGGATCATCTGGAATAGGAAGCATCAACTTGTTTTTAGCTTGGTTTGAGACAGTCCTTCTCCAAGGAAACAACAGTATTAAGCAACAAAAGCAACCACAATAAACACCCCTGTAAAGTAGGGCCCTGACACAAGCAAGGCAAAAGAAAGTCTTTTCATTGTGAATATCTCCAAATAGTAATCCTGGTACTGCTTATCAACTCAAAAAATAAACTTAATCCCTGCTTCCCAGTATGAAGAGGTAGACTGCTTTTATTGCTACAAAACCTCTGGGACACCACGGGGAAACTTTGCCCAAAAAAAGTACAGAGAAATAAAAGAGGAGACAGAAAGGAAATGACCACCCTTATTCCTGAAATGGGCTGAAAAGTAACGTTCTGTCAGGTCTTCCGCAGGGTTACAGCCACTATGTGACAGGTCTTCAAGTCAAAAGCCTGACTGAGAAAGCACGTTATTTCCTCAAATCCTGTAGTCAAATCATACAGGTATGGAAACCCTGAAATACAATGCAAACGGAGAGGAGGATGAGAGCTGGGAGAAACACAGAGACTGTGCTCATTCAGTGTAACATCATTCCTAAGAACAGTGTGAGAGAATAACAAAGCACACACCAGCACACAAAATAACCACAAAGAGGAAAGTGCCAGTGAACACTGTTTGAAGTTAAAAAACAAGTAGGCGTCTAGTCTTGACCTATGGTAAGGGAGAAAATTCTCTCTTTCTCGTTACCATGGAGATCCCCTTTTCAGGTTTCTTTGGATGAGCTTTGTGCATGAGTGCAAAATTTGGAATTAAGAGGAGAACGAGTATTAATTATGGGTCCCTGACAAAAATAACCTTCTTAAATCTTGAGAGATAATACAACAGAGCCTGGAAAAATTAAGTTTGGTTACAAGGATTAAGTGCTGAATAAACTATCTCATGTTCCAGTGGTTGGAGCGCTACGTTCTTAAAATGGCAATGCTAATCCAGGACTATTGCACCTGTCTATTACAATTTGGGTAAAAAACTTCAGTTACTGGATGGTATGAGACCTGTGTGAAAATTACAATGCAAAACTGCCTGGAGGAGACTTACTAATGCTGTTTGCTACAGGATTGACTTTAATATATTATTTTATCAAATATTCATGTCGTTCTTTTTGTATTTCCAGGTGACAACATTGCTAGCAAGGCTGCACTGAGATGCACCACCTTTTCAGCAAGGACAACATTGCAAAAATCTAACCCAAACAGATTATGTTTATATACTTGTAAGTGTTTGTCTCACAAGAAATAGAACAGAATGAGGCCTATAGTAAAATGTTAACATACACAGTTCTAGTGAGAAAAAGAAAGAAAACTTGAATTCAGGAGGATCTATAAAAACGAAATTCTATTGTACCCTCTATTTTGAAATTGCCAAATTACCTCTCTAATAAACAGCATATTTTGCTGCTATGTTTTCATTAACTTCCAATATCTGACTTTCAATAACTCTGGAATACACATTATCAAACAGACAAGTAAACTATGCAGAATAAGGAACTGTGTTGCTGCCTTTAAAATTTTAGTTTGCCTTTAATTATCTGTGCTACCAACTGTAAATTTACCTCAGAATAGCTTTTGGACCTAACAGAGTGAGCAGTGATTAAGCTCCCAACATTTTTTAAGTGAGGGGAAATATCTTAAGATTGTACACGGGACCCACATACCTGTGCAAGTTAGTGGTGCCTTTTTAAAGGTGCTTGAACAGTGAAATATAAGCCAGCATAACACCATGAGCATGCACCATTCCTACAAGCACTACTTTTTAAATTCATTTGTAAGTTGACTAGAAGGTTAAACAACTAGTGTTAAGTATTTTAAACTAACTTCATATGGTGTCAGCTATGTTTCTCACCATTTGTGCTTCCATTACTATTTTTCCTTTTTTCTTCCCACCTTTAACAGTATATTTACATATACATTGGTAATATAAACTGCACACTCTGGTTAAGTGTAGAAAACAACTGGAATGAAACGGGATTATCCGAAATTAACCATGTGTGAAATCAAAGTACTTCCTGCTTAATGTTAATGCTCCGTGAATTTTTACCAAGATTCCCCCCCCCCCCAAAAAAAAAAAACAACCTTGTTAAACGGGTATAACATAATAGTTCCCTTACTGGCATCTTGAGCAGTGTTTAACAACAACAGACAAGACATCGTTATATAACGGACCTCGCTAAACAGGCTACGTTTTCCACGCGGAGAGGGGACGGTCGCATATGTCACCCTGCCCGCA